GATAAGGCCCCCAACAGAGCCCCAAGACTGCCGCAGGGAACCCGAAAATAGTCCAGGACGAGCCTCAGACGGCCCAAGAGAGCCCTATGACAGGCCCAAGCTGGGCCCCAGAGCAGGAGCGGGAGGCCCCAAGGCGCTCCAAGACGGCCCTGATGGCCCCAACGTGGCCCCCAGATGGGCCCAACACGGCCATTACACAGCCCAAGAGCCCTCCAAGAGGCCCCAGGAGAGCTCCGAGAGGCGTCCCGAGATAGCCCGAGGCCCATATCCTTGATTTCTGGCAGTTTTTTTAGAATGTTTTTCGCTTTCTCGCGTTCTCGAGCTTCCAACGCTCGAACACGGCCGAAGACGCCCACAAGATCGCCCCGAGACCGCCGAAGAGGCCCCAACATGAGCTCCAAGACGGCCCAGGAGAGCCTGAAGGCTGCCCAAGAGCAGCCCAAGACTGCCCAAGGGAGCCCCAGGACAGGCCCAAGCTGGGCCACAGAGCGGCAGCGTGAGGCCCAAGAGGCCAAGAGGCTTCCAAGAGGGCTCCAGAGAGCTCCGAGAGATGCCCCGAGAGAGCCAAAAGAGGCCCACATCATTGATATGCATTGGTTTATAGGATGTTTTTCGCTTTCTCGCGTTCTCGAGCTTCCAGTGCTCGGAGACGGCCGCAGACGCCCCCGAGACCGCCCCGAGACCGCCGAAGAGGCACCCAAAAGAGCCCCACGACGGCCCCAGGGAACCCGAAAATGGTCCAGGAGGAGCCCCAGACGGCCCAAGAGGTCCCCAGGACAGGCCCAAGCTGGGCCACAGAGCGGGAGCGGGAGGCCCCAGAGCGCTCCAAGACGGCCCAGATGGCCCGGGCCTCCCGTCTTGCCTCCATTCCCTCCTCTCTCCTCTTCCTCCCCTAACCCCTCAGCTCTTGTGCTCCGCCCTCCTCTCCTGGGGCGGCCCCGCCAGGGCGCCAGACAAGCCCCGCCAGAGCGAGCGGGGCATCGCTACACCCTGTTATTTCACAAGTTGCTTTCCCCCTCCCACCCCTCAAGGGCGGCCCCCGCAGAGCGAGAGCCTTCTGACTATGCGTTTCTTTGCGTCGATGGCATGGGCCCGAGAACGCTGGAAATCGCCGTCGTGACCACACCGGGGCTTACAGCGGCCACCGTGCTCACCTGCGACTAGAACCTAAGCGCGCGTGCGTAGCGCGCGTGGTTCTAGTATATATATATATATATATATATATATATATAGAAGTAACATCATTTCTTCTGGCATCCAGTGAGGGGATCCCGTGCATCCGAAATCGGTGCCCCATCGTGGCTCGCCGTCATGGCCCGCCAAAGTGGTCCCCCACAGTGGCTGTGTAAAGCTGATTGGGTCTTTGCCGCGTTTTTTTGTTTTCGTTTTTTTTTGTGTTCTGGCCTTGGGATCTTCCTGGGCTCCCAGGGAGTGTCTCAGAGGCCTCTTAGGAGCGTCAGGGGGATTTTTGTTGTGGGCCTCGGGGGCGCCCCACTTGGGCTCTTTGTGCGTGTTTGTGCGCTCTCTCTTGAGCCCTTCGGGGCTCGTCTGGGCAGCCTCTTGGGCAGTGAGGTTTTTGGTCCGGGGCCGCTCTGAGCCGTCTTGTCCAGTCCGGGGTGCCATCTGAGCCGTCTTGTGCAGTCTGGGGTGCCATCTGAGCCGTCTTGTGCAGTCTGGGTATCATCTGGAGACGGAAAGCAAACACACAAAATCTTGTTTTGAAGCGATTCCGGGTGCACAGGTTTCTTCTCTGGGGGTGTTTTGTGGCTTCACCCACGGCCTCTTGGGGCGTCTTGTGTCGCAGTCGAGTCCTCTTGGGCATCTTGGGACTAGGGCATCTTTGACGGGAAGGTCTTGGAAGCCATATTGGGCATGTTGGGTTTTTTGGCTACTGCCAGGGAGTCGTCGGGCTCCCCGAATGGCCCGGGGAGGGAGGAATGCAGGCAAGTGTTTGAAAGGAAGGGCGGGGCGGTGGGGGGACCCAAAAACCCTGGCAGGCAGCACTCGGCATTACTGTACGCAGCCCCAGCAGGTGCTCTGCTCTCCGCGCCGGCGCGCGCTGCGTTTTGGAATGGCAGCCCCCCGTCCCCCCCCTGGCCCCCCTCTGGTGGTGCCGCGGGGGTGCTGGGCCTCAGGCCTGCCCCGCTCTCGGAGGCCCAGAGGTTGACACCAGCACCAATATCGGCGGTGTGCCTCCACCAGGGGAAGATGATCCCGACCTCGGTGATGTTGGTGATATTCGGGCTTCCTGGGTGACCGAAGCCTTACCACCAGCACCAACATCCAGGATCGTCTTCCTCCGTGGAGGCAACCCCAGGTGCTGGTGTTGGTGCCCGTTTCCAAGCTTCCAAAGGGGAGCGAATAATGACATAAACAGAGAAACTCGGAGGTCTGCGCGGATTTCTCGGATCGGCGCTGGACCCCCCTCCATGGCGCCCGGAGCGCGCCAGGGGCGGCGCCCGAGGCGCCGCCGTGAGGTTCCAGCGCGGAGCCGAGAAAT